CCCCAAAACCCCAAAACCCCAAAACCCCAAAACCCCTTAAACATTATTTGTGAATTTAGAAAATTTTAGATTAAATAAAGAAAAAATAGTCTGACTATTTTTTTTCTTTATAATTATCTAGTCATTTGCTTTAACGATATACTTAGTATGCCAATATATTTTCTATATATTAAGGAGTTAAACTCACCAATCATCATCAAGCTCTTCCTTTCTCTTAATCTAGATTGGTCCAGTAGTGTTGGATTTCACTTTGATTGCTCTTGAATTGCTCACAACTTTCATATCAACTAGAGTAGGTGATGGTGATCTACTCTTCATTTCTGGACTATCTTCCTCTTTGATAACCTTCTTTCTTGTATGGAGAGCTTCTTCAATTTTTTTGTTAAGAAGCCTCTCTAACTATGTCACTGCCTTCTCTCTTAGTTCTATTTGAAATTATAAATAATAAAATTACAATGCATTTCACCAAACTTTGAAGCAATATATCTGGGAGAATCTTTTTCGTAGACAATCAATTTCTAAACTCCTTTTTGCGCTCCAAGATTTACATCCATAAAAAGGAGGGGTCTTGCTTTTCTTCCAGATTCATCTGTATCTTTATTCCCAGATACAACATCTGATACCTTGTTAGAGCCATGAGAATGCTTTCCAAAAAATGAGACTTTATCAGAATCTTCATCAACAGGCATCTTTTGCTTAATATCGAATTTGGTATTTATTGGAATTTCTGATATTTCACTCAGAAAATCATCAGGAGATAATAATTCTAAAGCAAGTCTTCTATTTTTTGAGGCGTTTGAACTCCTACCCATACTCTTTCGCATTCCTCCGGTTATCTTTCCAAGAGTGCCTGGAAGGTTTAATGTGCTCATTCCTGGAGTATCACCTTCACTTCTCATAGTAGCTGAGAGCTAATCAAGCTATTTTGAGGATTGATTTTAATTATCAAATTGGCCGACATTTATTCTTGGAGTCTCTCCACTTTATCTACTTCTAGGGACAATATTAAATGGCTTTATGATCTCAACCTTTTAATTATTGGTGCTATTGCCACTATCATTTAAGGCTTCGTTACTGGCTAAAGGCAAAGATAAAACATTGTTGCTGATTCTTTTCATTGGTTACTTTATATCCTTAGTTTTATTTGCTTGAGTTTTAACTTGTAAAAAGTTTAATGGCGTGTCTGGTACTGATTAGGATTTCTATTCGTTTGAAGGTGCATCTTTATTAAGTAGAATGACAGGTTTTGCTTTTAAAGTAATCTATATCGTTTTAGTATCCCCTTTAGTTTCTTCATAAGGGTTGAAAATTTAGGGTTCTTTGTCTGCTAATTTCAGATTATTTTACTTTTTTTACCCTGAATTTTAAATATTCAATAACTATAAATCCTTGTTTGCTTTGTTTTCTGGATTTGCTTCTTAATTTTCTTTAGTAAATAGTTTTTGCTTGCCATCCAAACTCTGATACAAAAAACCCTCTGTAGTCGGAGCTGGTTTTTTTAGTATACTTTTTCTAGGCTGATCTTTAAGTGACTGTACTTATGGCTTACAATTTAATGGCTGATTTCGTCCAAAATTCTGCTATTACATGTCATTTAAAAGAGAGGTTGGTTGGGTTTTATTCTGTGAAACAAAGCTATCAGTTAACTTTGTGGGAGAGTTTTGAACTTTAGGAGGAGACTTCGAGGTCTCTTTTTCTCTTTATTTTGATAGAGTGAGGTATCTATTTAAGCATTTATCCGCATCATCTTAATTTAAAAACTTAGATTCTCCTTGATCATTGAATGCCATTAATCCATCGTTAACCTTAAATTTTTTATCCTATCCTTTTGCTACAAATATTGTCTAGTTCTTTATGCCTAGAACTGCAACTAGTAATGTAACCACATTTTTTATACAACAGTCATTAAGCCCTTAAAGTTCCTTGACCCACATTTATCCAATCAGATAATCTTAAACAGGGTTTATTCTATTTTAGTCAACAAGTTTCAAATGTATTAATAGCCTTTTGAATTCATCATATTAAATATAATTTGCATGATCGAACTTGTCTGTAACCTATCTCAAGTTGTTTTATCTCAAGAATTCATTTACTTCTTTTTTCAGATTAACATAAGCTTCCTGATCTTAGATATTTGCCTTTTCATCTATTTATTCAAGTTTTGATGGACTTGCATTTTCTATGGCTTACTTTGACTTTTGGGGAGACATTAATGTGTTAGATTTCCCAGAAGTCTTCATCTTTGGAATACAATATGGAAGCTTTTAAGGTTTCCTCACTTCTTATTTAATGTTTCCACCTAACTTATAGTAGGATGAATCTTGATTAATAGACTCATCATTCATCTTACTACTATTCTCTTCTTCTTTGTTTTTCTAAGAATTTTAATCATTTACTCCTGTAAAATTTCTCTCTGTAAAGTTTACTGAATTAATACTAGAGATGCTAGCTTGATTGCTACTTTTGAAGAAATTATTATCTTTCTCATTCTCTGTTGCTTTCTTTCTCTCAGGAGACATCATAGCTTCAATAGTCTTATTAAAAGTTTTTTATTATAGAGATAGATTAGGCTCTTTCGGCTTATAAACTTAAATGCTTGCTTTCGGAGATTAATTATATTTTATAATAGATTTTTAGGCAACACTTCTAGCCGAGGGTTATTAAGTTGACGGAGTCGAGTATTTCTCCAGGATTGATGAGTTAACAGAGCTTTAAGCATTATTCTAAAATTTTTGAACAGGTGGTTTTTATTAATTGGCAGTTGGTATTTATTGCAAAATTGATTTTTTTAATGGAGAAGATTCCTCGCCTTCAACCTTTTAATTGATCTGCGTTTCTTGAGTATTTTCTTCTATATTTTACTGAATTTCCTATATTTCGCTTGCATTTATCTCAGATTTATGAGTGATTGAACTTCTTTGATGGTTTGCCATCATTTTTCTCTTATCTTGATAGCTACTAGAGACAGTGTTCGTACAATTTTTTCGATTATTAGGACCTTCTTTAGGAGTTTAATTAGTAGTTCTACTGCTGAGTTAACTGGGCATGTTTTCCCTTTCTTTTATTGCAAATACCATTGATGATTCTGACTGAAGCGGCTGATCCTCAGAATCACTGTCAATTAGATGTCTATGATTTGATGCTCTCCATCTAGTCATTATTCTAGTGCTATGTGGGATTTAGATCTATTATTGAGTAACTTTTTATTAGGACTAATTCGGCTATTTTGATGAGGCTCCTTTCATTATAATTTTAAGTTATAAATGCACTGATATGCTAGCAAAATTTATTAAATAATTTCTAGAATATTATACAACCTAGCATATTTTATCATCAAAGTCTTTCGGGGTTTTGGGGTTTTGGGG